TCGAGTAGTTATTGGTGTCTCTTCTACTGTGATTTTGGGCCCGGGAAGGATTTAAATAAGTAAGGGATTAAAAAATAACGGCAGTTACTTAAAAAGTGTCATTAATATACAGCAACCCGGAAGAACAGACCTCGTCAGAACTTACCATCAAAATCTCGAGTTCCTTCCATCTCAATGTTACGGCATAGGCATAAACTTCATGATGACCTCAAACATTAATTGGGAGAATTCTTGTCACGCAAGAGCTCGTCTGGCCGTCTGGTGACCTGCTTAAAGGTGCTCTGTTAGCTCGTAAATTGCGAACTTAAATTTATTATCCTAACAGTATAGCAATCACCATCGATAAAATCGATAAAAAGAAAAGGTAATACTTGATCAATGCTTTCATTGACCAGAAAGGTTTCTCCTAGAGGAGATCGAAAAAAGTTCCTGGTTATTCAAATGGTTCCTATGGAGACGGAAACGGAAGTATTAAGAGACCATCTTTTATTCCAAGGTTATTTTAAACTGTTGTAACAATGCTACCTTTTTTCACGCTTTCTATTTACTATGTTTAGTGGTATTTATCTAACTAGAGTCGTAAAAATATGAAGTTTAAAATTCTCTGAATAGTTTGTTTATACTCATGCTGAGCTCTGTAATGCACACCCAATTGGCTGTTTAAAATGCGCTGACTGGTTTTCCAATCGATCATATGCAAGTCGGCTTTTATCTTATTTTCAAAGCTCAGGTCGTCACGACTTCAGGTTATTACGACTGGCATCTTAATAATATTCGTATAGTTTTAAGCGGAGAAAATGACGATTTCCTGTTGCAATATTTCCAGTGACATTTTGACGAGCACTTCAATATCATGTGTAGTTTCGATCATTCACAGTTATAAACGGTTTCCATGGCAGTAGACTGAGAATTAACAAGACGTCCTCACGCCAAGTTTTGAAGAACAGCTATTGTTTGTTGTGTCTAAGGAAACATTCAGTCTTCACTAACCTTACACATTGTTAATTCTTATGTTAAATAACTCGTTCCGAATCGCTCTTCTAGAACGAAAAAAATAAGATCTGCATAACACAACCTGCTGATCCTTGCCGCAAAACTGGCGCGTCACGTAAAATAATTCGTGTCAAATCGGTGCTTTGGCTCTCAGTGACAAAAATGAAAACGTTTGAAGATAAAGCTTGAGTGAAATCGCCGTCAACGATCTGTGTCTCACAAAACGTCACTAGCTTAGGCGATCGTTAATTAGAGGGAGATGGTCGATACTAAAGAAGGTCCTCCTATCCCTTTATATTAAATATTAGTCTTTGTAACCACGTTAATTTTGTAAACGTTTACTGATCCCTTCGTGAGGGGTGGGAACATAAATGAGCAATTGCTTTGATAATACAGTAAAAGCTCAACAATTAGGACGGATTTCGCTCAAAGTTCGAGCAATACGTGCAAAAATTATTTACTCAAAATCTACTCATAGCACAGTAACTGTGAGGATACTATCTAAAACAACTCACTTTAGTTCATTTCTCTAAGTGACCCCGCGATTACATTCTCAAGCATTCTCGAGAAAGTTAATGTCAAACCTCGTAAGAATGCTTAAAACGTGTGTTATTGTGTTTTTAACTAACGCGAAACGCCTGTTTTTATTGAAATATGGATAACTTCAAGTTCAATTTTCTCTCGCGGGGTTAGCTTGAGAACTTAAGTCTCGATAAGATCTTCATAACTGTATTCAAAATATTACCATGCCATAAGGTTTTTTTGGTAACTTAATTTTTGCCATTATTGCTCGAATGTTCTGCGGAAATCATCTTAAGTATCATCAGTGATTTTCAAGTCTCTTAAAACTAACTCTCCAATGCCAAACAAATTAGTTAATATTTATCATTTTAGAAAAGGGTACCGGCGTAATAGAAGATGAAATGTAAGTTAACAAGAAATGTTGCAAACTCGGGATAAAATAATGTACAACGGCCTAAAAACGATATTCGTGACTTACCTGGCCACCAAGGTTGTGAAATGCGTACGTCACTTTGCGACTCAATCTGTGACTCGGTTGGCGTTTACATGAAGCGCATTTATAATGGTTTGAAGCTTATTGTAGCCTAAACTAAACGTATCTTTCCACGGTACGTGTGCACAGCTTTCTGGAGAGCACCAGTTCAATGCTTTCTTTTGCTTTATGAAACGTAGGCGCCAAACAGTATAAATTCCTGTGAAATAATGTGAAGTATTTACTGTACCATGGTTGAACGGGTAATAACATACTGTAAGATGCAAATTGCTCGACTTTGATTCAAACAAATGCGTCATTTCTGAATTTAAATAAAGTCATTGTGCGTCAACTTGTTCATTGAAGCGAGAGAGTTTTGGGAACATAGCTATAACTTTAAATGTTACTCAGCAGTGTTACATTTCATTACGGCGTAAGCAAAACTCCACTGGTTTCGTTAAATTGACGCATGTATCTAAGCATTATCCCCAAAGTTTAGTTAGAGAATATTGTGTCAACGGAGGAAACTCATTTATCTTTGTCATATTTTTTTGTAAGTGGGGCGTAACGTTATTAATTCCCAATGTCATTATCCATTTCATATAACTTACCCTTTGAATGGGGCATTTACACTCGTCCGGACCCCTAAACGAAGTAAGAGAATGGTCAAAAAGTAAAGGATTGCGGAGGGGGGAGCATTTGAAAATATGGTGGTTAGAAAACAAATGACCCACCCCTTCCATTTGGCACAGAACTGAGAGACCCACCCCTAAATGAAGGTTGAAAGTTACATCATCCACTCCCTATACAAACATGACATTTTTGATTGCATAATCCAACAAAATCACATTTTGTGTATGAAATTGTGGCTGATTATTAACGGTTTAGATTTATTTCCTAACAATAATACAAAATCATTGAAAAACACTATTGTCTTTCTCTGCTCTTCCAACTTTGATCATGTCCATAGACACTAAAAAACCTTGACTGTAAACTCTTTCACACCTCGCTATGCGTGGAACAGTGATCCATCTTGAAAGCCTGTAGTGAGTCCTGGGACTCACACAGCCAGTAAACTACGAGTCCCAGGCCGAAGAGTTTGAGTCCCAGATCCATGAACATGTGTCTGGTACCCTTGAGGACAAACAGTATGTAGACACAAGTTGGCCTTTGGTGTTCTTGGAGATCAGCATGTCGAAAGACCGCAGTGATTTTGAAAATTTCTGCCCTGGGACTCCTTGCTCATTCCGTTCATAGAGTTCTTAGCTTTGGTACAGATTTTGATACATGAAATTGTCATCTCCACCAATCCACGAGTAGTTTTTCAAC